AATTGAATGCACATAAAGTGTCTCTTCCTTGGTGCGCATGTTTTTCATTATCCGTTGGCTGAAAAATAAAACCAGAAATAATATGGAAATGCATTTAATGTAAACATGGGAAGCATATGAATAATCTAGTTACCTGGGGCAGACTGAACAGTAGTTATTCCCGGTTCCCATCACCAAACGTAATGCCAAGTCAACAAAGCTACTGTTTCTTTGGAACACACACATCATTGAACTTCTAACATTAATGCAATCGTTGAAATTAGCACCCCGCAACAGGTTATAATTTTGAAATGTAAACAGCACATCAAATACAGAACTAAAATTAAGAAATCCTAAAAAAATCGTCTCTAAGTAGTGAAATTTTCATAACAAAGAGATGCCCGCGATGGTTTATCATTATCGTCAATATTTAAGGCAGCACATACAAGTACCAACCGGTACCAACGACATACCACACTTTGAAAATACGACAGTATCTGTGTAGTACAGATGCTGGGCTCACGGTCGACACGAGCACTGTCAGGGTCCGAACGCGGAGCCGAACCCCTGCTGAATGCACTCGGGGTGCCCATGCCCAAGACTTCCGGTTGTGCGACTGGGCGCGGGGACGTTTGAATGTTTCTTGGTGAGTAATTGTCCACGTCGAGCTTGTCTTGGCCCTGAGCGAGGTGCTCGGGGTGGGGCTAGACATTAGACATGAGCGCCGACCGGATTTTTATCGGCGGCGGCGGCGGCGGCGGCGTGATCGGCGTCCACAACTGAAATTCGGCTTTAAAATGTTCTGAAAACGACAAATTCGCAAATATTGCGCTAGTGTTGCATGAGCTTTGATATGTAATACACAAACAATGTTTACTGTCGAAAAAAACTTAAAAAGTTGGCAATCTTCTGAAAAATTTGGCGAGACGAATTTGTTGCCTACCTACAAGGCGTCTGCCGTTCGATTTCAGTGAAAAATTTGTGCTAAAAAACCCGCGCCGCCGACCAAATGGCCGGCCGCGGCGCGGCGAAAAGTTTCCATCGGCGGCAGCGTCGCGTCAAAATTTGTCGGCGGCGGCGTGGCGTCGGCGCGGCGCCCATGTCTAGGTGGGGCCGCGCGCGCGCGCCCACCTGGTAAACGTCCTCGTCCAGCTCGTCTGGGCTATGGGCGGGGTGCTTGGGGTCGCGCCACGCGCGCCGCCCTGAGGGTGCATCTGCCGAGGCTACCCTGCATCACTGGCGGTAAGCTCAGTCGCCCCCCCCCCCCTTTCACGTCCGCCCCTGTCACCCGGGTAGAACGACCAGCTAAAAATGCGCGCCTTTTGGCTTGCCTACCTCACAGGCGGCTTATCACTCAACGAGATCCGTACGTTAGCACGTTACGTCAAATTTTTCACGGCGTGAGAGCATTGTCTAAAATCAGTGTAAGCATACCGTACGCGTGTTTGAATACGGTCTACACGGAAATTCTGAGTGACCCACACCCCCCACCCTCCGGTAATGTTGCGTGGCTTTGCTTATGATCCGCAGTATTACAGCAATGGGTGAGAGTCAAGGGGGTGCTTCTTAAATGTGCGAATTCGCACTGTAACAAATTTTTGACGCATTTAATATGTGCATGACGTGCCCATTTAATGCAAATGTGTTACCTTGTAGGTTAGCCCATCCCACCCCCAAAAAATTTTCAACGTACGGAGCCTAAATGGTAGTTTTGACCTATAAGAGACCCTGTGCAAAGTCTGGGGCCTGTGCGACAACGTTTACGCGGATCGCATTGCGATTTTCGGTTTGGCCCAACCTTCGCGCCAAACAGCTAGACCACCTTGTAGGCGCTTCACCGTGCGCACGGTGGGGCTGGGGCAAACGACTCGGGCTGAAAGTGTTACCCTATGGGCCCTGCTTTGTATCAGATGTGAAGGATCCGAGCTCCGGACACACGGGGCGTGTCCAGGGGCCTAAACGTGCGCCCTACGTCACTCGGCAGTTACAGAAAATAATGCTGAGGTAGCCCTAAGTTTTTATTGCATTAAAACCAAGGGCACACTAAGACCTTTCAGAATCCGTAATGTCTGCGGGGTAGCGGTTACGCGGTCACAAGAAAAAGTTGGAAAAATAGGAATTTGCGCCTGTGGTGACGTCACTTAGCCTGCCCGCACTACACACTACACGCCTGTAGTGCACAGAAGCCTAGTACACGGGCGTTTCGGACTTTTTTTTTGCCTTTTCCATTCACCGCCTCAACGCTACCCCGCAGACATTACTGATTCTTAAAGGTCTCAGTGTGCCCTCGGTTTTCATGCAATAAAAAGTTAGGGCTACGTCGGTATTATTTTCTGTAAATGGCGAGTGACGTCGGGCGCACGTTTAGGCCCCTAGACACGTCGCGTGTGTCGGGAGCTCGGATCCTTTATAACTGATACAAAGTAGGACCTACCCGCAGAGAACGATTCGGCCGTTCCGGCTTTGAAACAAGGCGAGTTTTCCGGTCACCAAACGTCTCCCTTCTCTCCCTAGCTCGGACAGAAATCGGCCTTTTTTCGTTCCCGCTCCCAGGCGAGCGGGGACCGAGTGCGAAGAGACATGATTTCGAAAGACGAATGAAACAAGCAGGCCCGCCCTACCGCCAAACGAAGTTGCCAGCTCCGCTTCGCTCCGCCGGCAACTCCGTTCGACACGGGCCGGGCCTGCTTGGCCTGCCGGCGCCGATGACGATTTCTGTCACGCGATTTGCCGAAGAACATGATCGAATGATGTAGCAGGCCTTCGGCCCGCTTTAACCCGTCGTCTTTGAGTTTGTCCCGAAGACTCGAGAGAGGGATGTAACGGTGAAACACCGCGACTACAACCCTAGCACATCTCCTTCTAGTGGAACAGACAGACAGACAGACAGACACACACGAGGTCGTTTGCATAAGCCCGCTCACTGCAAAAAATTAGAGTCTGATACAGAACGATCTACAGCGTTACTGTAGATGCCGCTCTTAGTCACTGCACCTAGGGTACAGAGCGCGTAGTACAGTGTTGCTGTAGCACCGGAAAGCCCAGGATTTACACGGTACAGTGTACGAATACGGCTCCACTGTAGACAGTTTTGTCCGCGCT